CTATGATTTGCTTAAAAGAGGTTAAACTAGCAATTTTTACCTCAATTTCAGTCAGCATGTAATTGAAGATGGTGACACGCAGCCCAACTTGTTCTCCCTGCATACACTGTGATGGCATTTCCAAGTTCATATAGAAAGGCTTTATACTAGAAAACTAGAAAAACAACTACAGTATAAGTATACATATATATATGCTACAGACTTATTTTCTTTTTACTGTAAGGTGTATTAAAAAGGACTCAAAACACCATAAATATTATATACACATCACAGTTATAAGATGCATAACTGTATTTCTTTGATTTGCTGACCAAAGCTATGTCGATGAGTCTTGAATAGATGAAACTGCATTAAGTCCAATCAAGGAATGCATCAGGTCTGTATGTCACAGATTCTCAATACAATACAAGAGTTTTCATTGAATCTCTAAAATAGGGAAACTAAAGTAGAGGAACTATATACAACATGAACCCATTAAAAGGTAGCATAACCTATAGGAGCTAACTTTCAGCACTGGATTCGCTTACATAAGAATATTATTAGGATTCTGTAAATGATCTAGTGATCTAAAGCAATGATTCTTATACATTTTAGTCAATACAAGTTTTGACATTGCTTTACTTTATAATCAGATATTAATGGAATTATTGTCAGATATACTGATTATAGTAAGAGGTACATCCATCTAATGATATAATACATTCTAATCATTATAAAATTTTGTATTCTTGTATTTTATGACATTACCCATTATTAGCTTTAAAGTATTAAGTAGACCTCTAAGAATCTTCTACAAATAGGAAACTACCTGATGTGCTTCCTTTTGACACATTTCTGTCTTTACATGAAACTATTTTCAGCCACCTTCCAAGTCTTAGCTTAGAGGCCAAAACACCATATTAAGAAAAGAAAAAAATGTCAAGAAGTTTCCCATCCACAAAAGATTCCTAAGATGCCCAAGAAACAGTTTAAATCTACACTAAAAAAGTAAATAAACATAATAACTAAATATAATGAGTAAGGTTAAGTGGTAACAGAATAATCTTACAAAACTTCTTGTCAAGTAATCATAAGAAAATGATTTGCATCAATATTTATTGAAATAACTAATAAATAATCTCTGCAAAATTTGATCTCCTTTATTAAAAGAAAGAATATTTAATAAATTTTGTTTTTTTTTGGTTATAAGTTCCCAATATATATATATATATATAAACAGATTAATTTCAAACGTTCAAAACAAATTCCAAATCTTTTTCATTACATACAAACTAGATGGTTCTGTTTGTACTTTCTTGATTTTTTGGAACAGATGGTGTTAAAGTAGTATTGCATTACTTATCTTATCATTATATTGGTACTACATATATCAAGAAACCTTACATTTTTTGTTGTTATTTGTTGGGGTTATAGATATAATATTATATTAGCACACTTTGTTGTCAAATTTCTTTTTCCTTAATTCACATTCACAAAAAGTTGTAGTAATAAAAATGCATTAAAATCTTACTTCAATTGCCTTGTTAAGGATTCCAAATCCAACATCATTATCTATACCAAAAGCACTAACCATCCAGTTAGTTGGTATGTCAAGTACAGGCACATTGAAGATAAAGTAACCTAATGGTCTAGAAATATATACAACAAAAACAAATTCATGTAGATATTGTAGTTAGCAAACATCTAGTAATATCACTTGATTGACTAGAAATGAAAATAATAGTCACAACTTTAGCTAATTCAATAAACTTGTAGAGAAATATAAATCATAAAAATATAAAGTAATATAAGGTTCCAGAAACAAGAATAACTGCAAAACTTCAGCTGCTCAACAAAAGATAAAAAAATGCTTAGTTTTAATTTTCGTAATCACTAACTATAAAAGTCTTATTCCCTTTGTCACTCTGTCAAGAATGCTTTCACACTCCTTTTTTGGTAATGCTCAACAATATACATCATCACTTAGCAACAAAACTATCACCTAATTATTCTTATACCAACTATGTTGTTTATGTTGAATGCTTAATATTCATATTGATTTGTCAGAAAGGTTTGCTTTTTAATTCTTTATTTTTTTATAAATACAGTGATACAACAGCAAAATTATATAATTCAGAAGTTTTATGGCATTGAATTGTAGCCAAAGGTAAAATAAAATTTAACAAGTAGTATTTCAGCTAAGCCTTATGTTACATTTGTGTATTAGGCCTAGTGCTTAAATTAAGACTACAAATAAGCCTACTATTACTAACGTTATAGAGTCAGTGTTTAAAAAGTTTTAGGTGAAGAATAAATATTAATCAATAAATATTCTCTTGGTATCTTAATACATATATTACCTACTTGACCTTAAAACATAAAGCAAAATATATTTTTATTTTTACCAAATATCTTTATCCTTTGTACAGTCAAAAGAGTTGATAATTTGTGTTGGTGTTTAAAAAAGTATTAAGTGGTGAGTAAATGTTAATTAATAAATATTTGTTTGGTATTTTAACACATATATTTATCTACTTTGTGTTAAAACATAAAGAAAAATAAACATTTATTACAACCAAATATCTTTTATCTTTTGTGTAGTCGAAAGAGATGAAAATTTGTGTTAGAATGTCAGCACTATGTTTTCTACTTCCTGAACTAGAATAAAGTGAAAATGCTAAGTAGTGCTATTTAGGTCTCTTTCACAGTGTGCACATACTTTTGTTCACAATAATTGATGAAATAAGAGAAGAGTAGGTGCATCTTGGAGGTACAGACAAGTTTGTTTTAGTTAAATTCAATAATTTTCATTAATCATCCAACAATGGTTTACTATCATTTTTGATGGGCTTTTATACTAGTGTACTCCTAATATTAAATCAGTTTCACATTAACTAGCATCATATACCTTATTTAAAAGAAAAGGAAGTTTCCACCTTACACATGGACTAATCCAGAAAGTCCGCCTACCTACCCAATATTAACATCTTCCCATAACCAAGAATTCTCGTACAGGTTCAGGATTCGGTTGAAACGCTGTAACCTGAACTCCTTTAGATTTAACTCATCAAGGGGAGGACCTAGAAACATACAATTAAAAAAATTCAACTTCACTTTTTACTCTTAAAGATATTCCTTTAAGAGTTTGCCCCAATGGTACAGCGGTATGTCTGCAGACTTACAATGCTAGAAGCCGGGTTTTGATACCCATGGTGGGCAGAGCACAGGTAGCCCATTGTGTAGCTTTGTGCTTAATTTAAAACAAACAAACCTTTAAGATTTAGTTTAAAAATGAAAAGGTATTAAAAGAAGAAAATAATAAAAACTAATAATAAAAACCTAGAAAAATAAACAAAAAACAAATATATATATATATATATATATATATCAAATCTACAACAATGAACAGAGAAAGCATAAACATTTACTACATGAATAACATAATTATTCATTAGTTTATATTCTGTACATGAAGTAAAACTACAACAGTGAACATAAAAAGCTTAAACATCTACAACAAGAATAACATACAATAAATCATTAGTTTCTTTTCTGTACATGGAGTGAAAGCAAATTAAAAGAGATTTAAGAAAGTTTAATGAAAATCCTTAGAAAATCCTTGTTTATTTAATTCACTTGATACTGTTTAGTTAGTCCATGTAATTCAATAAGACTTTTTTTTTACTCAACCTCCTACATCTACCAGGTGCCAGCTTATGGACAACATTATCTAGATAGAAGAAAAATATCTTAGGTTTAAAGCACGTTACTTCAGCCTCTTTTCTGGTGCTAAACCACAAGTGCAGTTTCTTCATAACACTGAATAATCATGAAAAAAAGTCTAACCTCTACAAAAACACGTTGTTTTACATTAAAACCAGGAGTTAATAGACATATATCTAGGATATCCTGTTTACTTTACTCTGTGTGGATAAAACTAGATAACTATACAGCAAAATGAAACAAAAACATTATGAAAAAATGTTATAAAGTCACATTTTACTCCTTCATGGTCATTCAAGTAAGGAAATTATGAATCAACACTTTGTCACAGTGATATAACACAAACACTAATTGAACAGAAAGCAGCTAATCATTCTTATTTTAATCAAAGTACTTGTACCTGATGATGACAAAACCTTGTCGAAACGTTGTACATTTGCTGTCATGTTAAACTTATATTAAAGTTTTTCTTCATTATCCATTTAAGCCGCCTCCAGCCATTATTAATCTCAAAGTGGGTTCCTCGTCATCGAATTCAAAGTACTTTTGGTTGATATATGCAATAATAAAACTATTGTTTTATAACTAAGACATAAATGCTAACTAGAAATAGTTAATTATTTATATTTAACTACATTATAGCTAAAGATTTTGGGATATCACAAGTCAATCGAAATATATTAGAAATGTTTTAAGTGATTCTTATTAGGTATTTTGCTCATTAAGAAAGTCTTAGGTTCCCTGCTATCATGTTCACCAATATTAAACCAAGAGTTTCAAGTATTAATTATGCATATCTTATGTACAGGATGGATTTTATATCAAAATAAAACAAAATTCAAAGTAGTGTATGAATTCACAGAAACTTGTAAGAAATTTTTCTCAAAATCTAAGACATTTTAGTATTGTAGATAAAACTCATAAAGCTTTAGAACTTATGTATAATGCATCAGATCTAATTACAAAAATAAAACCTAAATTAGCTAAAACTGTGCATTTAAACAATATCAAACAGACTTCATCAACAAAGTTGATTCCATAAAATCTACAAGCAAGGAAGGAATTATTTCTAATTGTAAAACAATCTGTGTGCTAGTGGAATTTAAAATTATTAACAAGCAAAATAAGTGGTATTAATCCTTCTGTGATCAGGCATTTTGTTGTTGCTGCAGTTTTAGCACATAGATACACAATGGAATATATGTGTCTTGTCCACTACAGAGAAACAGAACCTTGAATTTCAATGTTGTAAGTCCGTAAACTTACCTCTGAACTAGAGGGAGTTCAGAATTTTTTTATTCCCAGGAAACAATAAATATCCAAAAGTTCATATTTGATTAATTTATTGCATATTTTGTTGTATTAAGACCCTACAAACCATATATCATTGTAATCGTTGTGAAACACCTTTATCAAAATATCCCCATATGGTCTGTAAGAATAGAAACAGTATGCACACAAAACATGCCCATATGGGTTTAAGATAAAATAGTCAAGGAGACTAAGATACAGTGTTTCTGTCTAGATCTTTCTTTTAAAACCCAACAGGATTATTATTTCCAATTTCTTTTAAGATGTGTTTTTGAATAAAAAGCTTGTCTGTTTTTTGTTAAGCCCAAATCTACACAATGGGTCATCTGTGTCCACCACAATTGAATAAAAAGAAAATGTTTTAAACAAAATTTGACGGTAATGTTATTCAAATGAAGTGAAAAGGCAAAAGAAATACTTACGGCCACAATATACTAAAGATATATTTAGAAGTATCCATTTAAGCAGCATGAAAGAGATAATAACTTAGCAATATAAAGTTTGGAAAAAATTCAAAAACAGAAAAATTGTTATATAGCAACCAAGGGTAAGACAGAATTAATAAAGTTATTAATTCTTACATAGTTTTTGTATAAATTGATAACTTACAAAAGTAATATAAATGAATGATCAAATATTTAAAAAATATATTTTTTTATGAGAATAAGTTGAAAACAATATTTCATAACATAGATTCAAAGGAAATATCACTTTGCACAGTTTATAAAAAAATTATTTCTGGAGTAATAGAATTAAAATTAAGTAGTCTATCATTAACTAAAACTGTTTCAAGGGTAATGCAATAAAAGGATGTAGTTTCATTATTTTCTGACTAATTTTTATTGATGAAAATGTTATTTACTGTTAATAATTATTCATAAATTATAAAATGAAGCACATGTTGGCACTCATTGAAATGTTGACTTCCAGCCTGTTTAGGGATATGAATGAAAATTTTTGTATGACTAAAATAAAACTCTGATCCTGTAGTCTTAACACTCTGATTACACATTTCTAAAAAATGCTTAGCAAATAAACAAACTGGATCCACAGATAGAAAACAGTAATGGGAGTGAGAAGCCCTATTAAACAAATGAATCACATACTTTTTTTTCACTCTGTTTGTCATTAATTTGATGTTCTGATTATAACAGTAGACTAGAAAATGAGATCTAAAGAGTGAAACTACCATTTTTAGAAAACTTTCAAAACACTTTCAACTGTTAAATTTTAAAAACTGAGCAGCAGACTCACAGCCACTTTCATCAGATCCATCATCACAGTCCCAATAGGTATCACAGCGTTTGCTGACAGGATAGCAGCCCTCATCCACACATGATTCAAATCCTGCTGTTCTGTTACACCTGTCTATAATATGTTCAAATCTGTTGTAACATACATTCTTATAAAGGACTATTTAATCATCTATGAACTGTATTTCATATTGTTGACTATAAAGATTCACACAAAATAATATAAAAAAAGAAAATGCTTAACAATTCTTGGAAATAATGTGAATGTGGTTATTAAACTATATAATGAAAAATTATTCAAGAATCTGTGAAATTGTATTTTAACTAAATATGCAACAAGGTATGCTATTAAATAAATAGATAACTCCACCACTATACATACAGATATTAAATATTGTAGGGTTGCTAACCTAAAATATTTTACACTGTTTCGTGATGAACAGATAGTATATGATATGGAAAATGAATATTACATTTACAAATTCTCTTGCTTGGGAAGCTTAACATTAACAATGATATACACTATAGAATATAAGCATATAATAAATGAACTTAACATATTACTGAACTGAAACACGTCTCTTATTTTACTAATCACTAGATATTCACATTTCACAGACAAAGCCAACATACCAAATAAACTTACCAAGGTGATTGCCATTGAATGAGGTTAAATTAATATCACACTTATAACTAAAAAGGAAAACTTCTATTTCATAACAAATAATGTAACAGGAAACCTAGCTCATACTTACCTGGTTTCCTGGTAACATTTGCATCAGTAAAAACGACAAGTCTGGCAAACTGGAAAATTCAGATATAAAATTTAATATTAACCTAGAATTTAACTTTACATGTGGATTATTTAAACTGGGTACTAAAAGCATTTGACAGTGAATTCTGAATAAAATGTTTTGGGCTCTTTTGACTATATATTCACAAGACAATTTCTTACTAATCTAATTTCAAAAATCAAAAGTTGGACCTCTGTTACTGTTTAAAAAAGTCAATTTAATAACATACAGATGATGCAATATTTTAAAAGCTTACTTTATGCCACTTTTCTAGAGATGTATATGTTGCCAGAACTCAAACTGAAAATCCATAATTAATTACATTATTCATGTATGTGTTATATTTCATACTCAGTTTTCCTTGTATTGTTTGTATTTATATCTAGCAAGATAAAAAAATATTAAAATTCTAGATATATATTTCTCACGACTATTATAATTAGGATATTTAATCAATTATCTATGAGCAGTGACTGTATCAATTAATGTCACATAAACTAATTAATTAATCAAAATTATATTTCTGATTATTACTGTTTTTGAGTATGCCATCACCAATCTTTTTTTTGTGTAGCTGCTGTCTAGAAGGAAGGCAAACTCTCTGGCAGCACCCACCATCAATACCCCCCCCCCCCAAGTGTACTGGTTAATTGGTCTGTCAATTAGTCGATTAACTAAACCACTAATTGCTCAGCTCCACTTTCTATATCAGTAACTCTAGTGTACAGATAAATATTAACAATACCAAAGTTTACCCTCTTTAAATTGCAAAATTAATTCATCTTTTTGATGTTCAAACAAGTACTTAAGCTTCATTGACATAGGATTAATCTTAAGATTCTAATATAATATGTATCTAACTTATGATATTTAAGATCTGAAGAATACAATTTTACTGTGAGATACAAATTTCAAAAATATCTATGGATCAAAAATCGAAGTTATACTAATTTTAGTGTTACTTTGATGAACAAGTTTAGATGAATCTCTTACTTTTCTAATAAAATATTAAACCTTACATAAATGAGATGGTTAACAAGAATGCATAAATTCTAACCTCAAATGTTCTGTTGGCATCAATACCATACGATGATGATGGAAAATAGAAAACCGAGTCAGAATGTCCTTCCCGAGAATGCCAGATATGAGTCAAGGTGCCATTGGCTGCTTCATCAAATGTATTCATTTTGTACATTACCTGAATGAGGAATAAATCTTAACAGGAATCATACAACATATTTATAAATGTACAAATGTCCCAAGAATTGTGTTCCTTATGATAAATAATTTACTAGTTCTAGCAGTATTTAAAAATAAAAGGTGTTAAACATACCTTAAAATGTAATTTTATGTTATTTATTATTAAAAATGTAATTTTATGTTCAATATAACTTAATCAGAAGTTTTATGCTACTGGATTTCTAATAATGAGTGTCAAAAATGTTCTATTGATGTTTGTGTTAAAGAAGTATTTCAACTTTCTTTGAAAATTAAGTTAGAGAGTGATTCCCAGTAGATACAAACATTTACTACATAATTAAAGAAAGTTTTATCAGATCTTGCTGTCTTGATTATAGGTTTCACTACTAAAGCAGTTCATGAATTAAAACACAAGGAATAAACCTTTAAAAAGGATTACATACTTACATCAGCATAACTCAGTTCATTACCAGCCTGCATTGTAAATAACATTCTGTCTGCAGCTGAAAGGCCAACATATGAACCTGGTTCTCCACGAACAATTACCTCCACAGTATCCCCAGTCTTATCTTTCCTGTTGTTCAGGCTAATTGTGAACTATACAAAGTTTGAATGGAAATGTTATTTTAACTTATGTATCCCCGAGTATCACAATCATATAACTGTAAGGTGTAAGAGTCAAAGTAACTTGCTATTCTCCATACTAGCTGCTCACTGTAAAAATGTTACTTCCAAACAGTACTTTATTCACAAAATGACCTTGTAAGTTAAATAATAGAAATTCTAATATTCATAAAACTTAACTCAAATACATAGTTCAAAATCCATTTGATTATATTGTAGCAAAAGAAAGTAAAAAGAAATAATAAAAAAAAATATATATATATATATATATATATATATATATATATATACACACACACACACACACA